TAAAAATCCTTCAATTATCTCGAACAAATAATACAAACGAGTCCGAAAAACAATACCAAAGTACCACAGCCAAAGAATATGAAATTTTTTATTCCTCTGATCTCTCCAAAAACAAGAATTCCCCAAAGTGCACTTATTAGTCCTGGTCCTGCAGTGACTATTGGATAAACAACAACATAAGGTAAACTTGTATTAGCAATAAACAATAAGGCTTGAGCAATTCCCCACATTGCACCAGCGATAAGACCAGGGATAGCAGTTTGGTTATAGATAAATGGTTGGTTTCTAAATATAATAGCGTACGTCATAAAATATGTAGCAGATCCCAAAAATACTCCAATGTATTGAGGAAAAACATAATCTATACCATCAGGAGATGCTAAGTTGTTGTTTCTTAAATAGTTTGGAGCATCAAAATTTGATCCATACATTATTCCAGCAATAATGGCTAATACAATTCCAAGAATCATTTTATTCCATTTTGGAAGATGTTCGATCATCTTAGATATTGGTGTTTCATCGTCATCTCTGTCTTTTGAGTGGTGATTAAGTTCATCAACAAGTTCATCATTTGTTTGAACAAGTGGACTTTCTTCAATTTTTTTATATTTGACTTTAATTTTTTCTTCTTGAATTTCTTTTTTACTTTTGATTTTAATCATTGCATAACACGGAACAGAACATCCTGTAAGAAATGTACCAAAACAATTTAACCAAAAAATATTAATGTCGTCTTTATCCGCATTTAAACCAAACAGCCCAAAAGTACCTGTTATCCATCCAGTGATCATATTAAATATTCCCCAAATACATGGACCAAGAGAAAGTCCAATACACTGAATAATTGGAACTGAAGTTAAATTCCCTGTTGCCCAGAGTAATCCTCCAATCATAGAAAATGGTTCTAAAAATATAGGACCTTGATGGAATGCACCACGTATTAACATTACAAATACTCCTACAACCATTACACCTAAACCCATCATAAAAGTAAAATAAAATCCATCTCCAACTGGATATTTTTTTGTTACTATATAATTTGATCCAAAGAGTATTACTGAAATAAACAAGCATAGATAACCAACGACTATATCTCCTAATGACTGTTCATTTGAGAACGAAGACGATTCACCTGGCATTTTCTTTTGTTTAAAATGCTATCATCTCAAAACTCTAGGTTAGAAGATTCTTTTTAAATCTATTCTCACTATGTTGATAATAAAATATTATTATAACTTCTTTCTTATTCTTCTTTGAGATTAAATAACAAAAGTTTTTTTAAAAAGTTGAATCACTTATGTGCAATTCCAGAAACAATACCACACCTGAAACTTATTATTAATCTGTTTCACTTTAGATACTAATTGAAACTACTCACAAAAACCAAAAACTATGGCTTTTTAATTAATGCAATATAAAACAAAAACTAAAAGAACTTAAAAAAGAAGTTTAGATTTGTAGATGCAACGAGGAGGAAGAGAAAAAGGAGTAAAGAAGTTGTCTAAGAAAGAAAAAGAAAAATTAGAAAAAGCAAAAGAAGAAGAACAACGTAAAAAAGAAGAAGAGAAACAAAGAAGAAGAGAAGAAAAATTACTTGGAATCAAACCAGACAGAAATGAGAAGAAAGAGGTTAAAGAGGAAAAGAATGAGGATATAGAAAAGGTTGAAGAAACAGAAAAAAAAGTTAAAAGTAATAAAACTCCTAAGAAAAGTAAAGAACAAAAACGAAATGAACGTAATGAAAAGAAAGCAGAAAAGTTAAGAAAAGAAGAAGAAATTCTTAATCAGAAAGTTGAACATATTCCTGTTGATACTTTTTCTGAAAACGTTCAATTAGAAATTGAAGAAGAAGTTATTACTGTGGCTAAAGAAGAAATACATGAATCAAATGCATTAGAAGAGTTTGATACAAAGAATGAAGTTAAAGAAAAAAAAGTAAAGAAAAATAAAGTAGTAGAGTTAGAAATCAAAGAAAGAAATGGTAAAATTAATTTAAAAGGATTACCAAAAGAAATTAGAAAAAAGAATATTATCAATGAAGAAGAAAAATTAGAAATGCTTAAACAATATTTTGAACAATGGAACGAACAAGCTGATATGGATTATTATCCATTCAATCATTTGAGTGCTGCTGATAATAAAGATCTTAATCAAATATTAAATCAAATTAGTATATCTAAAAGAAAGAATTATTTAAAACAATATAAAAATGATTCATCATTTTCTCTTGGAAAATTATTCTATGTTGAAGCACTATCATTATCAACTGAAACACTACAATTTACTGAAGAAGAAATTGATATTCATTTGATTTATCTGTTCATTCAACATGAAGTTTACAAAGTATATTCTTTAGTTTTAGTTCATCAACAATCTCTTTCTAAATTTGATCTTACTCTTCATAAACAGATTATTGAAACATTATTAAATGCTATTAAGAAAACAAAATTACCTCAGGCTGTTTCTTTAAAAGCATTCCAAGCAGCATATGCTCTTCAATTAGATTCAACTCCATTAAAAGAATATTATGCAGAATTAATTGAAATTCCTAATTTATTAAAAGGAAAAGTTCCATCTAAAATCTTTGAATTTGGATTATCTGAATCAGTGGATTTAGCTGCACAAATGCTTGTTATTGATCCATTGGCATTTAGGTCATGGGATGATTATGTTTTAAATAACCTTAAACATTCAGAGCAATTACTTCAAATAGTGAAAACTTATCAAACTGATGAATTAAAGTTATTCTGCTCAAGGATGATTGAAACTTATTCTAACAATCCTAAATTTTCAAGATTTTTAAGAGAATGTTCATCAATTGTTAATCCAATGAGTGTCTTAAAATTAGTTGGCATAACAATGACAGTATTAGTTTGTGTTGCTGCAATTGCATATGTTTCACTCTTCTCCAATTAATTTCTATTTTTTTTTTACTTTTTTTTATTTCAAATTTTAATAGTGTTGTTTAAAAGTCAATTAATTGGGTTTTCAAGGTTTAATTCATTGCAGTCTTCATGAGCGTATTGACCATTATTCACTACAAAAGCACTTGTAGCTGATATTTGATCATGGCATTTGTAACAAACGGTTTTACGATCAATAACTTCATAACGTTTATTAGAATTTATAGTTAGTCCTTTAATAGCATTTGAATAAATAGAAAGGTAGAAATACTTTCTGGCATAAGAATAAATGGCAGGAAGTAAGATTTGTAAATCATCAAAACTCTCTACACGATCAAGCATCTTGTTGAATAAACAAGTTTCAATATCAATATTTAATTCAAAAGTATCAAATTTAACTCCAAGCCATTTAAATTCACCTTCAGTAAATTTTAAAGGAATAATAGGATAGAAACGACCATATAACTCTAGTGCAAATGAAATTGGAAATGGGTTATCAAATGAGTCATTATCTTTCTCCAATAATAAATGAACCAAAAAAGATAATAAAGCAGAAGTATTTGTACTGATATTCATTTGACAAACACAATACATGATTGTTTCAGCTCCAATATGATTTGGATGAACTTTATTGAATGGACGATAATTTTGTCTTATTAATCTAACCATTTTAGCAATACTTCCTGAAGTTCCATCGAAATTAAATGTACGATCAAATCTTCTTATAAAATTATCTAATTCACAAAAAGAATCTTCTGCAAAGGTTGATGAATATTGATTTTTCATTTGTTTAAAATATTCTAATAATCCTTTATATTTACATTTAGTGTGTTGAATTCTACAACGTAATATCCAAGGTAATTTATCATAATCTTTTTCAATATGTTTTTGTAATACTGGAGTATTTTGCATTTGGTCATTTAATTTAGATGTAGCATTTAATCTATCACTAGTGGCAATTTTTAAATATTCAAGATAACAGTCAGTTAATAACATTCCTTCTGGTTTTTTAGTCTTTTTCTTTTCTAAATATCCAATAATTCCTTCTAAAATACTTTGTCTATCTTCATCACCTTCAAATATTTTTAATTCTTCTTTAATTTCTTCATCTCCTCCTTTAATAGGTAATGCTACTGGATCAGCAAGATCCCATATAAATCTAATAGCTGTACCTGGAAGATGATCTTTAACAATCTGTTGATGTATATGATGATAAACTTCAATAGGATTTGTTGATGTAAAGATAATAAGAGAAATTTCAGCAAACAAATTATTAACAAGAGATAAAGGAATGTATTCTTCTTTAAGAATTTTTTGAATAGAAGGAGAGTATAATAATGTCATTAATGATTCTTTAGTTACGTTTTGTGGAATTTTTTTTTGATTAAAAAGTTTTAACATGAATTTGACTAATTGATTAAATGAATCATTATAAATACCATCTAAAACTTCTTCTTGTTCTTTTAATTCTTTACAAATTTGTAATAACATCGGCATTAATTCTTGGTGTTGAATAAGACCAATACAAGCTCTAATTTTATAATACAATGGACTTATTGTTGAATAATTAATTTTTTCTACAATAGAAGGATATTTGTTTGATATTTCAATAAATGATTTAATATATTCATCAGTTAATATAATATTATTTATTGAGGCATATTTAATATGAACGATATATTTCTCAATAACTTCTTTACCAAGTTCTTCTGTTTCTCCTTGTTCTTTATAACATTTTAAACAATACAAACAACTTAATCTATTTCTAAATTCATTTACTTCATTTTCATCTTTAATACCAAACTCCCATCCTTCAATAATATTACAAATTTCATCAATACCTAATACTGATTTTTCTTTTCCAAAAATTAAATATAATTCATCTTGTAATTTCATATTATTTTCTTCAATAAATTTTCTTCCACCATTACTTTCTATTTTTTCTTCAATAAGTTCTTCAATTTTTTTATAAACTTTATTTTTGTCACCAGTTTCTTTCTTTTGTAATATACGAATTACTGCATTTCTTTTATCATAATAACTAATTCCATTAATGTTAAAAACTCCATCAATATGGTTTTGAGAAATGTAATATTCAATAAGTAGCTTTTTATTAATTGTAGTATGTTCTTCTAGAATTTTTAAAATAACTGTTTTAAAAAGGAATTTAGTATTTTGTAATAATTCAAGCATTTCCTTTGAATTAGGTGAGAGATAATAAACAATAACTACTAATGAAGTATAAAATATTTCTCTTTCTTCGCTTGTTTCTCCATCAATTTGTTCTTTGTTAACAATTTGTGATTTTACTGCCATAAGATAAGTAACAATAGCTTGAATAATTTCTTTCGTAGAATGTCCTTCTGAGTTAAAATGATTTTGTAATGGAACACTTTTATTATTTTTTAAAGCTGTATTTTTTTCTTTAATAACTTCTTCTAAAGCATCTTGAAGATTTTTTACAAGTTGTCCAGGGAATGTTTTAACCATATCTTTCTTCCAATTTTCAATAGAAACAGTAAACCAATCTTGAAATAATGTATGAAGGTCTGTAATAAAGTCATGGAATAAAAATAATTCTAAAAAGACTAATATATTCTTTGGACTAATTCCACCCATTTTAAAATCATTTAAAATGGTTATAATATTCTCACTTGTTCTATTTTCTTCATTTTTATAAAATTCAATAATTTTATTCATTACTCCTAATGTATAAGCACATCTTTTAAATTGTTCTGAATGTTCATCTGCACTATTTCCTAATAATGTAATAAATTCAATTGCACTTTGATAATGTCCATTTTGAATTGCAGATTCATACCATTTAGGATTTGGAGTAAAGTAAGTTAGTTGTTTACTTGTACCACTGATAAATACTGGTACAGCTTCATGCATATAACTTCCTTTATAATATTCAGGTCTTCTAAAATCTAGTGAATGTGGTGAGGCATGTGTCATTGGTTCTAATCTATAAGTAATATAAAATTTATTGTGTGCAAATTCTTGCATAAAGAAAATAAATGGAGACATTTTACTTATTGTAATAACAGGATAATCACTAGGAACTAAATTTACTGCATCTTCTTCAATTGAATAAACACAATTTCCTGTATGAACAAGAATTTGATTTAATTGTAATTCTAAAAATCTTGGTTTACCTTTAAATGGAATAATAGATTTATTACAAATAGTTTCACTTTTACCAAAGAATGAAATAATTTGTATTTTGTTAGGATAAACAAGAACTAAGTTTTGATTAACAAAATTACAACCAACAATTTTATCTTCTGCATTCCAAACTTTAGTCTCTTTATAAAATATTCCATCAGTTTTAGATTCAATTAATGTTATTGATGATTTCTTTTTTGTATCTACAGCAGCAATAAAAACTACTCCTTTACGTACAAATGTACTAAAACATTCAAATGGTCCAGTATTTTTAATTTGTTTTGTAGTAATACGTTTAAATACTTCATTTGACGCTTTTTTATTTAAATCAACTTGAAATGATTCAAGTTTACTATTAATTAAACAAATAAGTAAATGCATTTGTTGATGGTACCACATTTGTTCTATCGTTCCACTAAATGAATATTGATGTAATACAGTCATTTTATTTTTATCTAATGAAATGGCAGTCATCATACCTTTCTTTCCAAATAATAAAATATTGTTTTGTAATAAACATGAACAAGTAGAAGAACTTAATGTGGCAATGGTATCACTTGGTTGTTCAATTTTAACAACTTGAATAGGATCATTTCTTTCTTCATTCATTTTTATTTCTATTTATTTCTTTAATTATCAGTTCAGATTTTATTAAATTTTCTTTTTTCAATCTCGAATTGATTATTTTAAAGATTGGGGATTATTATGAAATGAAAAGTAATTATAAAGACAATTGTTCTAATGGAGTTATTTTTTTGTGGAAGGAAAAAAAAACGATGAAAATTGGAATTAACAAAAATGCTATTGAAACAAAAACTTCATTTATTAGTGAAAATCTTAAAATTCATTTACATGACAGAAAATCAGAATAATCCTACAGTAAATTCTACTCAAGAAGATTTTACTATAAAGTCATCATCTGAACTTAAAGAAATGGATGAACTAACATCTACTATGCTTACCGTTTGTTCTTTTCTTATTTATATATACAACTCAACTTTTTTTCCTTTGTTCTATTTCTAGAATATCAATTTTATTATTCTTTCATTTTAAATTATGTTTCTGTTTTTACTTAAATTAATTCTCATATTAAAGCATCTTTCTACAATCCTCCCAACATATAAACAACTTATTGAAAGTTGTGAGGCTTATTCAAAGGCTCAAACCACTCTCGCTTCATGTGCTATTGGTATTGCTAATCAATTAAAAGGAATGTCAGTAACTATGGATGGATGTACATTAATTAATACAGCACTTCAAAGTGTGGCAGGAATGTTAGAAACACAAGCTAACACATTAACTCAATCTAATAAAATTTTTGTTGATAACACTATTAGAATCTATCGTGGAGAAGTTAGTGAAATGCCAAAGAAAATTAAAGACACAAAGGAAACTGTTAAAAATGATAGAAAGAAAAATGAAGATGCAAAAGAAAAAGCTACAAAACGAGCTAAAAATTTAAAAAAAGGTGATAATTTAAAAACATTGATGGAAAATATTAATGAAGCAGAAAAAACTGTTCAAAAAGGAATTGTTAAAGGACTCACTGAAACAACAAATTTAATGTGTGAGATGTATTGCCAATTAATTACTGGTATGTTCGTTTTTCTGGAAGATGAACAAAATTCTTCTTCTTTAAATGCTATGTTCTTAGAAAAAAATACTCCTAAAATTAAAAAGTTATCTAAGACTCAAAACGTATGGCCAAGAAGAGTTAAAGACTTAATTATGAATAAAAAACAAATTCTTATCAATACAAAATGGATGTCAGATGATTTAAAACAAATTTTAAAGGATGCTGGTGTTAAAAGACGTGATTTAGCTGATCCTGATACTGTACAAATG